TGCAAGACATCTTGCTGCCCAACTGCGCAGCTGTTCTCCTGTAAAGTGTAGTATTTAAAGCAGCGCAGGCAGTATAAACCATATGTAATACTTAATACTACAGTAATACAATCGGTTTAGCGCGGAGATAATGTAACATGACACGAATTTTCGACGGGCCAACTGTTTTGCTTCATTTCATAGCTGTTCTGCAATAGTTTATATTCCATCTCTATCAATCTCCAGTCACTTTTCCGAATTCGCAAGGTGCGGTGGTACCATGCCCTTGCTTCTATTTCTTTTGGGAAGCAAGTCACGGCTCCCTGGTATTTCATCACTAACAAAAACGTTATGCATGTTAATAAAAATCAATTCGCCAGCATACATAATAAAAATAAACCCCGCCATTATGGTTTTGCTTTCAGTATGCTAGAACAAGAATGTACCTCTTTAGTAGCAAACAATGATACACAGGTATATTTTTATCCACCTCTTCAAGTTGGCTTTTTTGCTCCATAGCTATAATTTTGATAACAACGGTGGTTGAAAAAAGTGCTTTTATATTGTGACGGGAAAATGAAAAAGGAACAAAACATCGAAATTTTGACCATGATAACGTGGAAAATTTTTCGCTGACGTAAAAATTAGTTAAAAGGTTGCACCGCAGAAGAGTTGAAAAGATAAACTCGGTATTGATCTGAAGTTCAAAATATGCCAAAACTTTTATTCGTTGCGGATCCTTTTTCTTTATTCTTATCCTTCTGTTTTGTTAGACAATCACTTTCTGTAGACCTTGGACCGCTTCCGTCTCATCCTTGAAATGATCAGTATCCTTTCTGTTTCATGTTTGAAATTTGTGTTAAATCTGTGCACTATTTACTTGCTTACTTGAGACCTATTGCTGTCACCCTATAAGTAAGCAGCTGAAACTTTCTGTAATTACCAAATGAAGGAAATCCCATCTACTGGATTCCCCTAGAATTAGTAATTTATTAGTGGCCGTGAAAATCAGAATGAAATATGTCGAAATCCGAATAGTTTTTCAGAACTGAATTTAATAAGGCTGCATCCGAGTAAGCAGTGAACTAGAAAATTTGATCACTAAACTGATTTCCCTCCGTTTCTGTTTATCTTGATCTGCTTGTTCCCCTGTTTCATCCCTCTGTATGATCTATTGACGGGCTTCACATCTTATCTTTGAGGACCCGTTTGTTTTACTTTTGATAACTGAAATTTTGTTCTTTATAAATTCAGATTCACTTCTTGCCTACGGTTGTATTCAGAAAATTTGTAATTGACTGATCACTTTGATATTCAGTGCTAAAAAATGAAAGCCAGTTATTCTTTCAAATCGCGGAGGCAAACTCGTCAAACATTGCTTCAAACGTTCAAAGTTTTACGAGAGTACTTGTCACGGTCCCCAACGCCCCTCCTCTTTTCTCATCCGAACTTGGTCGAGCAACGGCGGAGTGAAAAATTTTCTAAATATTAAAATACGCCGTCCTGGAATGAGATGTAACATTTTTCACTAAGAGCGAATGCTTGCTCAACCGACCTGTCAGAGACTACCTGGAAGGTCAAGAATGGCCTGGGACCAGTGCTTAAATAAGATTTGATCCATGCTCGAATTTTTCCCTGCTGAAACTAAAATCCTAGCTCACGATGGGGGAACGTTGGGGACACTGTCTGACTTTACTTCCTCCTCGACCCAGCAGATGAGCGGCCGTCGAAATTGACTGAGTATCTAATGTTATTTCCGAGAGGTGTCTTATTCTTATTCAGTATTTTTAATAGAAGCCATTGAGCCCAGTGTGACACCGCGTTATTGAATTATCCATAGGAACAGGGTGGACACAATTTCCGCCTTGTCCTGTTACTAATCGTTCTATTTTCTTAAGCACGGGAGCGGGATGGACGCGGTTCCCTGACCTGTAGTACACCTGTTTCGACAAGATTGATAAGTCACTTCATTCTCTTGGACTTAGACATTTTGCCATCTTTGGCGAGTTTTAAAGAGCGGAGGGTCGAGGCCTAACTCTACTCAGTCAATCGAGAGGATCATATTTCAGTTTTTGACGTGATGGCTAGCAAGTGATTAGTCAGTAGCACACTTTTCAATGGCTGATTTAAATTCATGAACTGTCCTTCAAAAACCTGCGATTTTGCGTGTTATGCATGGCTCAAGTTTTCCAACACCCACAATGATGGATTTATTACGGTTGTTCAGGGCATTGCTTTCTGACTGTCGACATGCTGGGATTTCTATTTTCGTCGTAAATACTACCATTGACTTTTCTTCTTGCTAGTTGATGCTGACTTGATATGAATTTCCAAACGCAGAATGAATTTTCTGTCCTAAAAATGTGAATGCATAGTGAACCAGCAGATTTATACATGACGATGTTGTATTTCGCCTTCTGTGAACGGTCATTTTTTCAGTCTGATTGAAGCGTACCATCAGTATACTGTATTTAAATCTTGTGTTCAAGGTGCTATACCTTCTGGACTTTTACCACAGTTACGAATCTTACTGTTGTGCTATGATAAAGCGGTAACCCTTCATCATCTTCATCCTCCATCGCCGCTTCTCCTTTCTGGTCGCGGAAGCAGACACGTCAGACAGAGCTACCAACGTTCCCGATCCTGTGCCAAAGGCTGAGCTTCGGCAAAAGACAAATGGAGTCTAAAACAGACTCCTTCCATCTCTTTGCACCGGGTTAATCTTGGCCGTCCACTGGGCCTTTTGCCGGTCGGATTTGCAACGAATAGTTGCTTAGCCTTCCTTTCTGGAGGCATTCGCAACACATGCCCAAGCCATCACAGCTGTGACTTCGCAATCTGGAGAAGCAAAGGCTGTATTCCAAGGCTCTTCCGGATGTCACTGTTCCGGACTATGTCGAGACA